ATAATTAGAGTATGAGTCATTGGATGCATATATTGGTACAACATAAGATATAGTAAGCTACATTTCAGAAAATAAAAATCTGTAATATCTGCATGGAATCAGTTCAAATTTTTTGTATTCTAAACCAAATGGACAGTTCCTGAAATCTATCTTCACTTCCCTCATCTTCTCACTCAGCTTGGGATTTCATTTTCATAGGTAAAGACTTCTTCCCACCCTATCCCCAACTCCTGTTATTATTTTTTTGGCTTGCACTCAGCAGCATGGTTAGAAAGGTCTATCCAGTATGCTTCATTCTATACCCTCCATAGTTCATGAAGTTAGAGAATTTCAAAGTCCACAGAAGGACTTCCAAAGTCCTAAGAAGAACTGAAGGAACTTTTAAGGTTTCTTAAAAGTTTGGAAACTTAAGAATTTCTTAGCAGTTCTCTCCTAAATTTTTTATGTTATTTTTTATTCATTGGGGGCCATCACCTTATCAACTGCTTTATTCAGTTTCCTGTCTGAGGCATTACACCCTTTGTTTTGTGCTATAGAATATGTAGATTAAGGATTTCCAGATCCTATTAAGAATCACTAAATTTTAATTTTTGTCAAAGGTTTATTTTATGCTAATCTCTCGAATTTAGTCCTTCTCTTTCAGTCAATTTGTCCTTTACAAGGAAAACAGTCATTTAACCTCTCTGGGACTGTCATCTCATTTCTGAAATGAAAGGGTTAGACTAAGTGACCACCAAGGTCCCTTCCATATCTCAAACTATGGTCCTATGGCAATAGTTGTTGTTTATAAGTTGTTTCAGTTATATCTGACTCTTTGCGACCCCATTTGGGGTTTTCTTGGCAAAGACACTGGAATGGTTTGTGATTTCCTTCTCCAGCTCATTTTACAAATGAGGAATTGAGGCAGACAGGGTTAAATGACTTGTCCACAGTCACACAGCTAGTAAGTGTCTGAAGTCAGAACTGAACTCGGGTCCTCCTGAGTCCAAGGCTGGCACTCTATCCACTGTGCCATGGCAACAGTGGTCTAGTAATTAGAGAAGTGGATTGAAATTGAGATTCATAGGTTCAAGTTGGGGCAGATTGGTCAGCTGAGAGTTGTGGTAAACAAATTTCTGAGTGGGCAGTGTTACAGAAACAGTGAAAAACTAATTCCAAGAACTATCAGATTGCTAGGAGGAAAACACTTTGTAAATTTTTAAATGCTAGATAAATTAATTAATATCCCTCCCCCTTTTTTGTTATTAAGTGTAAACGTTTACCATATCAGAGCATCATAGCAAATGAACTGTGGGGACAGGAAGGAAGCAGTTGCTGACAAAACTCCCTCACCAGTAGCTCTTGTGCTATGAAGGTCGCTGCAGGCAGCCACAAGAACAGAGTTCTGGCTTCTGGGTTTGTGTTCCTAACAGCCCATTCTACTGCAAGTGCAGAATTTTTTTCTTGGATAGAAGAGAAATTGAGAGCCTTTAAACCATCCATCATTTTAAGGTGTCCATTTTTTTTTCCTTGAGTGACTTTCCCTGTGTATCTTTGTTCATGCTTCACTGTGTTTTAACTATCCCTGAGGAAGCCTGGTTCATTAGGCTGAGCTCTGAAGCTAACTGAGATCTGGGAAGCTCAAGGAAAGCCAAAATCCTAGGTATCATAAGGTCAGTGATCATTATGATCAAAGACCTTATGGCTAAGGTCAATGATGGCTTTGTCTGAGATCACAAGGAGCTGACATCACTCATAAATTCATTCAATAAATATTTCTTAAACATATACTATGGGAATTCCTGCCCTCACAAAGCTTATAGTCTATTGGGGCTTGGGGGGGGAAAAACACAAATGGAAATCAATCTAATATTCAATATCACATGACAGAGTGTTAGAGGAGCAAAAAAACAAAAAGCTGTGTGTGGTCTAAGATCAGAAGGGCAAATTTTATTCCATTCTACTTAAGATCTGGCATTTCCCACATCAAATTATTCAGCTTTTCAGTAAAATAGTTTAATAAAATGTTTGTAATTATCCTGAAGTTCACTATGAACCATGAATCCCCATATTAACATGTATTAGATGCTAACCACATTTGTGTATCAAGCTACAGTGATGATATTTTAGAGCAAGGGAGGTGACTGGTGGCATATTTGAGTCTATTCTAACAAAGCATGTTATTACAAGTTTCCACTCCTCATAAAATACCTTGAACTAGCCTACTAGTGCTGTGGGGAGGACACTCCACGATTCTAAAATAATCTAGTCCAACCTGATCCTCATTTTACAAAGAAGAAACTGGGGCCAAAGAAAGAGGAAGTGACTTATCCAAGGTTGTAGGCTATTACATCTAAAGCTAGAAGACGCTTCAGAAACATGGACTCCAACTCCGTATTTTGCAGATGGGGAAGCCCAGAGAAGTGAAATGATTTGCCCAATCTCATACAGCCCTTTCCCCTACACCACTTACGTAGCAAATAGCTCAGTGAGGCATTGCCCCCAATTCCTCTTGATTCCAATTCCCATTCTCTTTCTTTCTACTTTATTAGGCTGCTTGCCTCTCTGGGCTTTCATTCATTGAAAGAAAGACGTCACTTATGTGCAGCTGCTTTTATCAATGATCTTTATAATGGGCTATATTTTTGTTGCCGCGGGCTATTACCTTATTTTCTTGCCAACTGTAGGGAAGACATCAAAGGATATTTTCCCTTCGTGAAAATTGCGAAACCCTTCAGTCCTCAGTTGTATAAACAAAACCATGCTGAAGGGAGCCAGCTTGTGACTGACTCTCTCCTTCGTGCAGTCCTGGGCTGTCGAGCTGCCTTTTCTGTTCACTCCTCCCCCCTTGGCAGACGGCCTCTGAATCAAGGGACTCAGATGACTGGCTCTACTTTTTAAGAGCTTGGGAAGCAGATTTCTTAAGTCCTGGCATTTCCTGTTGTGAGGCCTCTCAGCCTCCACACGCACTGAGTGGGCCCTTTTTCATTGCTAAGGCACAGGAGAAAAAGCAATTCCCTTCTAGATTCAAGGAAGAAAAGAGAGAAAAGGGAATACATACTAAGAGTGTGCCGACCTTTTGAACATCTTTTTTATTATGAACCTAGCAAACATGAGCATTTCAAATGCAGAACAAAAAGGAGTATACTAGGTATGAAAGTTATGTGTGTGGGATATATGTAGCACATATAATTATGCATATGAAACATATTAATATAACATGTCATCATATTAGCATATTATATTATATAATGTGTCTTAATATATTATACTATGACATATTATATAACCTATCTTAATATATTATGCTGTGATATATTATGTAATATATCTTAATATATTATATTATATCATATCATATAACATTGCATGACATCACCATATATAAACATGATAACATAACATATATTAACATGTGCCAATGTTTCATATATATGATCATATATGCAACATTAAGATAATATATAACATGTTCATATATAAATATCTAAGTAATATAGATGAAATCTAATATGAGAACTTTTATGTATAGTTTAGTTTTTCTTACAGTACATGTTAAGATTTCATAGTAGTAACAAAACTGCCCTGGAAAATTGGATCCCCTTCTGAACTTCCTTCTGCTTTCTTCAGTACCTTTTTAAACATTTCTCTTGCACTCCTTTCTTTCTTTCTTTTTTTTTTTTGCAACACCATAATTATATAGAAACTCTTACTTTCCCCAAACCCTATAAAAGCTATCCTTTATGATGAATATGTGGGCAGCTAGGTGGTGCAGTAGATAGAGCACCCAGTCTGAAGTCAGGAAGACCTAAGTTCAAATCCGGCCTCAGAAATTTACTAGCTGTGTGACTCTGGGCAAGTCATTTAACCCTATTTGCCTCAATTTCCTCATCTGTAAAGTGAGTTGGAGAAGGAAATGACAAACCACTCCACTGTCTTTGTCAAGAAAACCCTGAATGGGGTCATGAAGAGCCAAACACAACTGAAATGATTCAACCCCCACCTCAGATTCCTCTCTCTCCCCTTAAGACACCTCAAGCACCATCTTCTGCATGAAATCTTCCTGGTCTCCCAACTACTAATGCACTTCTTCCCAAGCTGTGTTGTATTTAACTAATTTTGTAGATGTGTATTTATTCACTTTATATATGATGCACACATGTATATGTATCAAGTTCCCTTCCCCCTTCCATTTAAATGTAAACTCCTTGTGGGTAGAGGTTGTTTCATTCTTTATATTTTTATCCCTCTAGCCTAGCATAATGCCTAGCACATAATAGTCATTTAATTATCAATAAATTTCATAAATTAATAGTTGTTGATTGATTGACTAATTGCAGCATTTGTGTAACAATAATAATAATGGTAGGTCAATGTGTATACAAAGTTCAGCTTTGGGTTATTGTTCCAAACTGCTCTCTACCATGTTTGGACAATTCACTGCTCTACCAGTTGTGCTCTGGTTTACTTGTATCACCCCCTCCAATGACTGCCATTTTCCTCCTCCATCATTGGTACTCCAAATCTTTCTCTTCTGATGTCTCCTCTTTTCTCTCTACATTGCCTCACTTGGTGCCTTACTGCTTCCAATGAGTTCAGTTATCATCCCTATCATCTTCCTGGATCTATAGATACATCCCTAGTCTCTCCCAAACTCTACCATACCCTAAACCCTTTTTCTTCCTCAGCAGAGGACCTTACCACATACTTTACTGAAAATAACTGAAGGCAATATCAATAAAGATCATTTTTAATAAATTCAAGATATATGGATAAATTCAAACTTACCTGGATAACTTCAGGTACATTATCATTTACTTATGGGCATAAAACACAAGACCTCTACTTAAACAAAGAAATGATTAGACTTGACAATGGAGATGTACATACTAAGTAATTTACTTCACATATACCATAAAGCATTTGCCCCTTGACTTGTTACTCCACTTTGTTCCACAGGGATGCTGCCTTACTTCATTGATGAAACACCAGAAAATTCACGTAGTGTCACCTTTTTGCAGGAAGAAGAAGATGATGGATTACCTAAGAAAAAGTGGCCGACAGTAGATGCTTCTTATTATGGCGGTCGAGGAGTTGGAGGCATTAAGAGGATGGAGGTAAGTATACAATTTTACAGAGGTATTCCTTCATAACAAGTTGACTTTTCCAGGAAGACCCATAAGATTCTACCAGTAAACATAAGAAGGATGGGAGCTCAGAAGTTTAAGGTTCTAAAAATTCCTTATGATACTTGAGGATTTCTATGACCCCTTCATAGCTCTACTTTCCATGATCTGTAAATTGGATTTTCATTAAATTTTCTAAAAGCATACTTACAAAAGGTATGGCTATAAATTCTCAGGATGAAAGTCCTGAGTTTTATAATACAACATTACTGCTATAATAAAAAGAGCACCAGAAGTTATTATAATAAAGGGCTAAATCTCAGATCTGCCACCAAACTAGCTGTGTGACCTCACACAAATCATTTAGCCTCTCTGGGCCTCAGTTTCTTTATCTCCAAAATTAGCTAGATTTTCTCTGAAGTCCCTAGGAGTCCTGAGTGGTTAGTGCATAGGATTATAATATTATTTGATTAAATCAAAGTGTAACTTAGTTACTGATGACATATCATACTAATAGGTCATAGAGGTACTAGGGATATTGAAGATCATTTGGTCCAACCCTCTCAGAGAAGGCAAATGACTTGCCCAAAAATCACATATTTGGTAAGAAGCAAAAGCAGGATTTGAATCCAGGCTCCCTACCATGATGACATATTTCTCAGAAAATATCAAATGATCAGGTAAGTGCGGCAAAAGATGAAGCAGCAGAAAACAGTCACAGGCTACACTTGTTTTGGGTATGATATAGAAAGCTTAGATTGTGTGGAGACCCCCCCCAAACACAGTAATTTCTACAAGGTTTAATACCTTTAGAGCTCCACGGGCCGTGGTTTGGTAGGTGACCCCAGTATAAGGAGTGCATACAGTTATTCTCTAACATAGACAGAATAAGGAGATCTGGCAGCCTGGCTCTTCTCTTCAGTTTCCACCAGGGACCAGATTATCAACTTCTGTATTTGGGATGCCTATATTTACACTTACATGGTAACAACCTGTAAGGAAGGGACCATAGGAAGTATAGTTTTATATGCACATATGACCAATTGTAAACCTCTCACCTTCCCCTCCTCCACACTCCCATGATCTCCTCTTCCTTTTCCTCTCCTAGCCCCCAAAGCCAAAAGGAATTTCAGAAGCATGGAATACAAAGTATTACCACAATCAGGAAGACAGAGCAACTGATTTGTAAAGCAGGAAGGCAGCAGGTGGTGCTGGATATTAGAGCACACCAGCTTCCTTTCCTTTACTGAGACTTTCTTTAGGGAGAGTATAAAAGCAAGACCACTCCAAAACGCTGGGCTAGTGTTCTTAAGGGGCAACTAGGTGGCACAGTGGGTAGAGAGCCAGGTCTGGAGTCAGGAAGACTCATCTTCCTGTGTTCAAATCCAGCCTCAAACACTAGCTGTGTGACCCCGAGCAAGTCACTTCACCCTATTTGCCTCAGTTTCCTCATCTGTAAAATAAGCTGGAGTAGGAAATGGCAAATCACTCCAGTATTTCTATCAAGAAAACCTTAAATGGGGTCATGAAGAGTCAGACCTGACTGAAACAACTGACCAAGTGTTCCTCCTGCTATCTCCAAGTGTCAGAATAATCTATATCTATAGATTACTTCTCTCTATATCCCTTTAAGATTTACAATGTGATTCAGAAAAACCTGGAAAGACTTGTATGGTCTGATGCTGAGTGAAGTGAGCAGAACCAAGAAAACGTTGTACACAATAACAGCCACGTTGCATGATGACTAATATTGATAAACTTAACCCTTCCTGGCAATACAAGGATCTAAGACATCTCCAGAGGCCTGGTGATGGAAAATGCTATCCACACCCAAAGAAAGAACTATGGAAGCCGAATTGCTAATTTTTTTCTCTTCTGTTGAGTTTTGTTTCCTCTTTCTGATTGTTCCTCCTACTGGTTTTAATTTTTACTTACAACATCACTAATGTGAAAATATGTTTAATAGGAATGTAAATGTATAGCCTATATCAGATTATGTGCCATTTTGGGAAGGGTGGTGGGGAGGAAGGGGGAGAAAAATTTTAAACTCAAAAGCATATGGAAGTGATTATTGATAAATCAAAATAAATTAATAAAAAATAAAATTAAAAAAAGATTTACAATGTGTTTTCCATACAAAGGGGTTATTGTATGGAAAACATAGTATTGGTATTATTTTCCCTGTTTTTGAAAGAGGAAATTGAGAATTAGAGAAATAAAATGACTTGTTCATGGTGTCCTAGGCAGCAAAAATGTCAAAGACAGGAGTTAGACCTAGAGCAGATTGATTTCATGGCTCTTTCCATAAGGAGCAGACAGACATGTTCCCATTCATCTGCTGGGCCAGCTGCTTTATCCCCAAAGTGAGAGGTTCTGAAAGGCAATATTTGCCCATTTTTGGTTCTTTCCTAAGGTTCGGTGGGGAGAAAAGGGATCCACAGAAGAAGGAGCCAAGCTAGAAAAGGCCAAGAATGCCCGCGTCAAGATGCCAGAGCAAGAGTTTGAATTCCCCGAGCCTCGAAATCTCAACAACAACTTACGTAGGACCTCTTCTCCCAGGAAGTGGTATTCTCCAATAAAGGTACTATTTCAGCTAATGTATAGTATAGGAATATAAGAACTGCTACACTTTTTTCATCGGCCCCAGGGCTCTGTCTGTTATGGTGATATCAAGACATACTATAGAGACATATTATGCCTTCCATGACATCAACTTACTAAGGTTAAAAATTTTTCTCAGCCCTCCTTAGCTTCATTTAGTTGCCTATTAAGGATCAACTATTCAGTCAGTCAATAAACATTTATAATTATATATTATATGGATCATAAATATTATCATAATATTTATAACAATCATTAGTTATTAGAATATTTCTAATATCACTAATTATTAGAATGTTTATAATAAAAATTATCTTTGTTATTATTAACATTTATTATTTATATCATGTAGGTATTAATATTAATAGTAGAAACGGCATCTATATAATAAGAAAGAGCCTCAAGTTACTCTATCTCAATCAGACCATCTCTAGTATTGGACATACAATGGAGAGGTAGAAAGCACCTTGGAGATCACCACCCCCACATTTTCCACATGAGGAAAATGAGGCTTATATGGAGAAGAAAGTGATGCACCAAGGTCACATTGGTATTAAATAGAAAAACTGAAATGTGAATCTAACACCTTCAATTTTAGAGCATGCTCCCTTTCTAATAAACCATGATTAGGTTTTATTCTGGGCACCGCTTTTTAAAAAAGACATTGATAAGACAGAACACATCCAAAGTCAGGCTTCCAGAATGGTGAGGAAATTTGAAGCCATTCCATTTAACAATGGTTGGGTGGAAGGAAAAGGAGATATTTAACACAGAAGAGAGATTTAGAGGAGGATATGATCCCATCGTTCATTCATTTGAAGGTTGTAAGATACAGAAAAGGGAGCAAATTTATTGTGTTGCTCCAAATAAACCAGTTTTACTTTTGTCCTTATGACCTCATGCCTAGCATAGTACCTGTCCTATAGGAGAAAATTCGTAAATGCTTGTTGATTGCTAGATCGAGTGACCAATGATATCGCAAGGGTGATGTCTCGACTCGTGCGTAAATTGGATTTCAGTGAGGCAGAACAGAACAAAGTCATCAGTCTCACTCTCTCTTCCAGAGTCATCGAAGTTCAATGACAAGACAAAAGTCAAAATGACTGGCGATGGCCCAAGATGTAGTGGGTGACCTTGTTCTTTCTAAATTAAGGTCTTTCTCAGATCTCAGTTTGTCTGGGGCCATGCCCATTCAATGACTAAGGGCTAGGTAAGAATCAAGAAGAGATAAGGGAGAGGCAATCAGGATGCACAATGTTTTCTAGGAGTTTGGTCCAGAAAGGGAGGAGAGAGACTGATAGCTTGAGGGGATGAGAAGGGCTGATTCTTAAATGGTTCCTAGGAAAGTTTGAATTCTGACAATTATACCAATTTAGTGGCCCTCTGGACCTCCCTCCATTATGACTTTCTAAGGTTTGGAGTAATGGAGAAGAAACCTCATTTTATCCTAGTCCTTTATTATGCCCAGGTAGTAGTTATAGAGAATAAGTTTGCTGCACAAAACATAACTGTTACATATTAGAGTACTGTTATGGAACCTTCCTCACCCTACTCAATCCTTTGCGTTTCTCAGTTTAATTTCTCTGAATCTACTTCAGATCTGTCATATCTTTTCTGTGGGCAGGAGAGGGTAGACAGGCAGAGTATATAGAGTATGATTTGTGCACACATTCCTGAGGATGTCGAGATAAGTTAATAACATAAAAGTAAAAGCTATGTCACACACATCATGAAAGTGAAAGAAACACTAGTTTTGGAGTCAGGACCTGGGTTTGAATTTAAGTTTTGCTCTTTACTACCTGTGTGATCATGGGTAAACTGCTTAACTTCTCTGGGCCTCAGTTTCCAACCCTGAAAAAATGAGAGGTTTTAACTAGATGATCTCAAAGGCGTCTTCCAACTGTAAGACTCCATGCCAAGAATATACTCCCTTCCTTTCTCCTCCCCTTAGAATCCCAGGCTTCATTTAGGGATCACTTCATGTATCATCTCCCATTGAAAGTCTTGCCTTACTCCCCTAGTTGTTAGTGCTGGCTTCTTTCTCCATAAATTAACCTGCATATGTATGCTTGTTTCTATGTAGCATACCCCCAGTAATACGGTAAGGTCTTTAAGGATAAGGATTGCTTTTTTGTTTTCTCTCTTTGTATCTCCAGCATCTAGCACAATGTCTTATAGTGAGTGTTCAATAATTACTTGTTGGATTGAATTGGATTGGGTATTCTCCACACTGATGAAATCACAGCTTCAGACCAAAAACAAAATGAAATTCAAGATGCAGCAGGATAGAGTGGAAAGAATGCTAAGCTTGGATGCCGGCCTTCTGTGTATGAATTCTAGCGCTGCCACTTATTAGTTACATAACCAGGAGTGATTCATTTAACCTCTTTGAGCCTCAGTCTCCTCATCTATAAAATGGAGATAATGATAACTGCCCTGTCAACCCAGAGATTTGTTTTGATGAAAGCATTTAGTAAACCTTAAATAAAGTGTAACCAGAGGTGAGCCGGGAGATAACATGTCACAAAACTCCAAAGAGGGCACAGTATCATGAAGGAAGGGGGTGGCCAACAGTGTCTAATGATGCAGCATATGCGGTCAATAAGGTTAAAGACTGAGAAAAGGCCATGGAGTTTAGCAGTTAATAGATAATTGGTATGTTTGGAAAAGACTGGTTTCAGTTAAGTGAAGTCAGAAGCCAGATTACAAGGTGCTGATGAATGAGTCAAAGATCCCAACAACAATTACTGACAGCTTTTCCCAGGAGTTTGGCTATAAAATGGCAGAAAAGCATAGTACAATAGCTTGAGGGGATGGTGGAATCAAACAAAAGTTTTCTAAAGATTGGGGAGATAAGGATGTGTTTGCAAGCTGTAGGAAAGGAGGCAATGGATAAGGAAAGATTTAAAATTAAAGTGGGGAAGAGATAAGTTCCTAGAGGACATAGGAAGGGATAGAGGGAATAAGTAGAAAGACTTACATTGAAAAAATGGGCTGCCTTATCTTCCAATACTGTAGCAAAAAAAAAAAAAAAAGGCGGGGGAAGTTGGGGAGGAGTAAGAGGTAATATTGACGTGGCAAAGGGCAGTAGATTGTGATGGATGGCCTCAATTTCTCAAAAAGAATGAGGCAGAGTTCTCCCCACAAATGCAGATTTCAGCTTCTTTATGCCTCCTAAGTCTTAATAGATAGTCTTCATGATTTTTTGAGACCAAAAAACGCCATCATACAATAGCCAGCATTCCGCTGATAGACCTCTCTGCACTTGACTGGGCGGGAGGAGGGGGAAGGATCCTCTGGAGGTCCTACAAGGGATTCTCAAAGATTATATCAGTAGTGTAGGTGCTCTGGTTATCAGCTGGAAAGGTTTCTAGTACAGCCTGGCTCCAGATCGTATATCTCTGACCTGAGAATCAGCTTAGGATTGATACGTACATTGAGACCTAAAAAAAAATCTACATTCATTTACCTAATTTCATGAAATATATTTCAGGGAAAGTAGAAATGTTAAGAAAAATTGCATGGTAAAAAAGACAGGCTCCATTATGTCTCATTGGCACAACATAAATTGTTAATGGAACTGGCCTTTATAATCTCCTTTTTAGACTCATTTTAAAGGATTTAAGGCATTGAATTCTGATTGCTTTCACTCTTTTACCATTCCAATCTCTTTTGTACTTTTTTTTTAAATCCCATGACCAGGAAGTTTTCTCCTGATGTTTGGCTTGAATTTCCCTTTGCTCAGCTCCTCCCCAACCACACTTCACTTATAGCACGCCATGTCTCTGATTAAAGCAAGGCAGCTCATTCCCTCTAGGTTCAGAGCAATGCCCAAGTATATGGTCATCCAGTAGATTAAAACCAGGAGAGTGCTGAATTTAATAAAATAAGTTTGTGATGTTTTCTACCCTTCAACTAAGGACACAAATGGCATATGATTGACAAACAAACAAAAAAAAGTTAATTTGCTACCTAGAAGGGTAGGCTATTTACTAAAAGCACAGCCAATCACTACCTACTTTTATGTACAGATTCTGTAAAATTGTCTTATCTGACTTTACTTATGTGCTGTCTATGTTGCAATATGCTATCTCTGTACCTGCTACTAAAGCATTAGCCAAATTGTCAAGGTCTTGTACATGAACAGCTACAGTAGATGTACCATATTAAGATGACATTGGATCTGCCAAAGAAATTGAAATGTTAGCAGATGGTGCTGCTAATACCCAACACATTTTCTCCCCTCTCCAGCAACTTATTAGTACAGCACCAACTCATATAAAAAAGTTCATAACTTTGTACTCTAATCTTGTACATTTAAGGGGAAAAGCTAGTCAGAATAATTTACTATATATCATGGAGTATTAAAGTCAGATTGTAACCAATAGCCAAAGCCCCACTCCTACCACCACCACCCATCTTTAAAATGTCAGACTAATTCCACTTCCTACCAGGACAGATTGACAAACTGAAAGTAAGGAAAACGTAGTAGTGGCCTGCAGAGACACAAAGCACCAATACAGTGAGCCAATATGTTCCAAATGATAATTGAAGAAGCATTTCATTTGTAGTCTTATTATGGTATAAGGGGAAAAGAAGTGAACCTGGAGTCAGGAAAACCTCGACTCTGGTTCTGGTTCTATCATTGATTTGATTTGTGACTTTAATCAGATTGATTGACTTGCCCAAGGTTATACACAGGTACTGATTTAGTCAAAGAACCACAAAAGATTTGGCATACAATTAGGACAACTCAATACTGAACTATTTAAACAACTAATTGATAGTCAAAAAGGGAGAAGGGCAACAGAAATGACTTTAACATTGATTAGGATGATTTTATTCAGAATTTTAATCAATGAAAATTAAATGGCTCAACAAGGAGATCAAAACAGCCCAGAAAGCACCTTAATCAAGAAATGTCTATCATACTTGCCAGAGAAAGATAGCTTCCAAAGGCAATAGTGGATTAGAAGGTTA